CCCCAAAACCCCAAAACCCCAAAACCCCAAAACCCCACAATTAAAAAATAAATGAGGGATTGACTATTATGAGTTATTGAATTAAGATATAAATGATTATAGCCTAAATTGGTCAGGAAAATTTCACCAGTTCATATCTCTTTAATTAGTAATTGAATGAGCTAGATATAAACTAGGCTGAGGAACAACTTCAAAATTATCTTTATTAGGATTATCCCATTAACTAGACACTATTTCCTTTACCTAAGGAGTACTGCTTTGGGTTTTGAGCTTTTTTTTCTTTCGTTTTGTTTTTCCAAAAATTGTATTATTCATTGTTTTTTAATTATCTTGCTGCTAGATTATTTCTTTAGAATCACTATTATCATGTTTTAACTATTCCTCTAGTCCTGAGCTAGATGGTAGATTAGTTATTTCATCAATTATTTGCTGATTTGATTCATTAATACCCATTGTATCATTAAGCTTGATCTCTTAAATGATCTACTCAATTGTGAACTTGGTCCTACTATCATTCAAATTTATCTACCCAGCTTACAATTACTGCTCTTACTCATGATTCATATTTTGATCTATTTACGAAATTTTAAGTTATTGTTTCTTTTTACCTCTAAATTTTCCCTTTTTTTTACCATTTTTAACAGAACTTTTTGGAATTATTGAAGCTTATTATTCAGGCAAGTTTTATTAAACAACATCAACATTAAGTTTAATTTATTCGTAATCTGAAGGTTATTCATCCATAAATTCTTTGGGGGTTTCATCATCATTCCGTTAATTGAAATACTTTTATTATTTTTAAGCTTATCTTTCTCTAATGATTTTAGTGGCAACCATATATATCAGCATGCCTATTAGAGCAAGTGAAATGACCATACCGACCATGCAGGCAATAAGAATAGTTTCAGCTGATTAGTTTTCAGATTGTATTATGCCAACGACCTATGCATATAGATTGGATCTAGGTAGTACTAAATCATACATATTTGGCTTGAGTGAGTAATAAAATCTTAGAGTACTAGTAGTGTAACCTTTTTTTGGCACAGCAACTATATATGTGTGATTTGCAAAATTTGAGAAGAACGAGCCAGGTTTTGTAACATTTATGAATCTATCGACTGCATATGACATGTTCATTCCCTAAATAATGTTCACCTCAATTTGATTAATCTAGGTAATAGTAATATTGATCCCTGTCTTTCCATCATAAAAATCTCCATTAATTACCCAAATGCATACATCGCCGTTATTATATTAAATGCTTCCACTAGCTAAAGTTATATTTCGACTTATTGATGAATTAGAGTAGGTCATTGGCTCTAGGGTTAAGGAACCTCCACATTTCAATGCAATATTGCTTAGACAGTATGAGTATTTAGATATTTTGTTATATTCGAAATTAGAGCATTTTCTCTTATTAATTTACTCAGTGCATTAGTAATTTGATGAAAAAGCCTAGCAGCATAATCCTTGTGAGGAGGATATCTGGCAAAAGTTAAATTAACTTTTTGTATTTATAAAGCATTCATGGCAATTAGTTTCTAAATACTATGTTGAAACCTCATTGAGATATAAGATCATTACTATCGCAATTAATTTAGATGCAAGACTTTTATGCATGACTATTAAATTCATGTTTAATCTTATTCTTTTATGATCTATAAATTTTTTAAGAATTAAAAAAGATTGATAATTATTACTGAGTTTTTAAAAACTATTTGTATGCTATATTTAAAAAAGTAGTATCAGACAATTTTTAATCATCAATTATCACTATAATATACTGTATGGGCCTTATGGGGTTTTGGGGTTTTGGGG